GAACACATACCGGCGTTCGCTCACCTCTCGATCCTGTCACGGCTCTCTGCCGTGAAAGGGGAGGGGCTGGATTCCCCCCTCCCCGCTCGGATCCGCCATCGCTGACTGGTCACTCACGCAGCTGGGCGGATCCAGACATAATTGTCGGGATCCGCTTCAGCTGCAGCGTCTCAGTATATAGAGAGCTGTAGCTCGCGGTATACTGAGCCTAGGGTGACGGGAGGACGCTAGTTTGTGTCCTCCCATTACCCTAAGGCTGGGTTCCCACCTAGGCGGTTTTCCGCGCTTTCGTACTCGCGGAAAACCGCTCAAGCAGGGAAATGCCATTATTTTCAATGTGTATGGTTCCCATCTGTGCGGTTTTCCGCGAGTACGAACGCGCGGGAAACCGCCCTACGCCCAAAGAAGTACATGTACTTCTTTGGGGCGTTTTGGTCGGGCGGTTCCATTGGGATACAGCCAAGTATCCCTCGGAAACGCGCGTTTGCCGCGTGGTGTTTTTACCGCGGATCGCGGTAAAAAAAACGCGCATATTCAATCCGCCCAGGTGTGCACCGGCCCTAAGGAAAACTATGGGGAAAAGACTTAACCCCATAGTTCTCCTTTAATTTTTGTTTACAGGCCAAACTATGGGATCTGGACCCCCCACCCCATTGAAGCGTCCCCACTTTATAGACAGCAAGATATTAAACAAGTAGAGAGGAATCTAGAGAATGGGGAACTGGAGAGAGTGCTGAGAAGGACAACTAAACTGATTAGAGGCATGGAGGAGCTCAGCTATCAGGAAAGATTACTGGACTGAATGTGTTCTTCTTTGAGAAGAGGCGATTAAAGAGGAACTTCAACCTTATCTCTACCTTCTAGCAGATACATACAGATACTTCTAGATAACTGCCGGCTTTGTATTCTTTGCATTCCTTTTTATCTTCTTCCCCATTCTTATCACAGTGACCTTTTTTTGTTTTTTTGTTACTAAGGGCAGATGAATCCATCTCCCTCTGTTTCCTGGAACTCTGGCACATGGGACCACGCACATCATCTCAGGGGGAAAAAATACCTTTCCCTGAGATCTCACAGGATTTTGCAGTATGCAAATGAGATCCTTCCTCTGGATCAGCTGTTGATTTAGGGTTCTGTGCATACAGGTTTTAAAGGATAAAGAAGGATGTAAGTTTTGTCCTCCATGTCACGGTCCCTTTCTATTAGTATTACTATTATACAGGATTTATAGAGCGCCAACAGTATGCGCAGCGCCTTACAATATAAGTAAGACATTACAATCACAATACAATACAAGTTGGTAAGGAGGGCCCTGACCGTGAGGGCCTACAATCTAAAAGGGGAGGGGCCAGTGATACATGAGGAGGGAGCTGTGTGGGGATGAATTGTTTGAGAACGTGATGGTTGAGCGGTTAGGTTGAGGTGGGATCGGCTTTCCTAAAGAGATGAGTCTTTAGGGATCGCCTAAAGGCAGTCAGAGTGGGAGATAGACGGACAGGTTGGGGTAAAGAGTTCCAGAGGATGGGAGAGACTCTAGAGAAGTCCTGGAGGCAAATATGGGAGGAGTTGACAAGGGCGCTGGATTCTATGGATAGAATACAGCATACCATAGATCCACCCAATGCCTTGAGATGTCCTTCATGTCATCCTGCGGCCTCCTGTCCTCATTCAGGAACCTCATGACCAATCACAATCCATCTCTCGGTCATGTGACCTCACTGAGAAGCTGGTTGCTAGAGGTGACTACACTTTGCACTGAAGTGAACAAGCTGGCCACAAAAACATGGAAAGTTTTCTGTTCTGCAGAGCTGACAATCTAATATGGTGCAATCATTGATTGGTCTTATCAGGTGCTGGACAATAGGAAACAGTTGGGCGGAGCTAACTGTCACTGCTAGCTCCGGCCAATTGTTTTTTTTAATCTTTATTATTTTTTTTTAAATCTAATAATTTATTTAAATTTTTTAAACTTTTTTTTTTTTAAACTTTATTTCACTACGGAAGTACCGCTCGGCGGCACTCGGCTATTCACTTACTGCCGTTCGGCCCCTATGTGAATAGGGGCGAACGGCAGCGAGCGAGCTGCCGGAGCTTTGGCTCAGCCGATCCAGATGTTGGATCGGCTGAGTCGAAGTCCTTCTGGACTGCGACTCAGCCAAACATGCTGAGCACGCTCAGCTGACCAAAGTGGAGTCGAAGGCAGCCGATGTACTGAGCCAAAGTGAATAGCCAAACGTTGCTCGGCTCACTTCAGTTCGGCTGGGTTATGCCTTCGGCAGCTTTGTGAATAACCCCCCTTATGTCCAGTATAAAGACTGCCACATATGGTCGACTCTTCTCCAGGTTCTCTGGACATAGCCGTTAGTCCTGGATCAAGGGAGTAGCTGTCGATCCCAATGTGCGGCACTCATCGGTGCCTGTAAACCGCACAATACTTTTCGTTCTCTCCACTCCTCGATCCTGCTTTTTTTTTGCCAGGCACCGATGAGTGCCGCACATTGTGGTTCTGGTGAGTTGGACTTCAGGCTCATATCCGAAGAGGCTACGGCGCAGCCTTTGGGATCGACAGCTACTCCTTGATCCATTCGCATCTTGTCATCTTCCCACTTGGGGGTAGCGCTTCCCCCCCCCCCCCTCATTTTATGAGGATACTCCGCAGCTGCCGAACTTTGGACAATTTTTCTTCCTCTACTAATTGAACGTTTGACCCGCATATCCACCTCACCACAAACACCTAGGACTCCAGGATCATCACTCTCACCCCCATGACATCGCGCCACCACCATTTCAACGGTGAGTTGCTACATTTAATGTTTGTGATCTACCACTATTGATTTCTCTCCCACTTTGGTCCCCTCCGCCATCAACTTGAAGTTTCCACACGGCCATCCCCTGGATCCACCCTCGCCTTTGCGCCTCCCCCCAATACCGCGTCATTTATTATCCACCCATCAGACCCTCACCCCACATAGACCCCTACCTCTTAGACAGGTTTGACTCAGTTGTGGCGCTTCCTTCCCTACATTTTGTTCTGCTTTGACAAACAACGGACACCCCGGTCCGCACAAACATGAAGCAGCACACTGGAGTATTCAACCTCCCAGCCAACACCTCCCTCAGCCCACCCCCACGAAGAGCGCTGTGCCACAGGACAACTCTACTAGTTTTTCATTGCTTCCACAAAAGCAACCCGCTCCTCCAAAGCCACCGTCCCCCTCTCACCTCTGCACCTTCAGCACCCTATTTCAACCACTCACTTCTTCAACTCCTGCACGCCTCTTCCTGCAGTCACCTGTGCATCCCTGGCTCCCTCTTCCAGTGCTCATCTTTGCACCCTGTATACCTCTCTTCCACCACTTACCTCTACACCCTCTTCCTTCACTCACTTGTGCCCCTTCCTGCACCCCTCGTCTAATGTTTGCCTCTGCACCCCTCATCCCCAGCACACCATTGCACGCTCTGCAACCTTTGCATCACTCCCTGCTTCCACTATCACTTGTAACTCTTGTAAGCACCATTTTACATATATTTCAGATGGTAGTAGATGGATCTTAGCGTAGTCCAAACACACATGACATCAGGAACAAGCATGTCCACATGTAATGTAAGGTCAAGGGTTTCTTGCCCGCTTTTATTCTTCCACGTGATCGGGGCCGGTGCTAGACCATTTTGTGCCCTAGGCAAGACCAGCTACTTGCACCCCCCCCCCCTCCCGCGGCGCAACCCACAATCCCCCCACGCAGGCCCCATTCTCCTGCGGGATAGCTTCTGCCGCCGACAGTTGGATGTAATTTAATTTGAAATAGCCAATAGCAGACTGGCTATTGAAACCCCCACCCACTGAGCAGAGGAGTGAGAAAGTTGTCTTTCAGTTAGTCAAGGCTGCGCCCTAGGCAGCATTGCGCCCTAGGCGGCTGCCTAGTTTGCCTAGTGGCAGCACCAGCCCTGCATGTGATAACAGAACATCTTTCCTTACTGGGTTCATAAATAGGCACACATTAACGTTCCAGCATACATTCAGTCTAAAAGGTGTGTTGTGTGGCTTCCCTGCTGGCTCCAGAAGCCTTTTCTATAGAAACAGAGAGCCCACCTTCAGTCAGACACCTGCAACATTTCAGTCTGGTGCCAAAACCCAAGGTGGTGCCCCTCATCTCATGAAACACCACAGCCTTGCCACAACATCATTCCCATCCAAGATAATACACACAGACCTACATGTATGTGATCTTTCACCGAAGCACCATGACCTGCAATAGAGAGTGCTTCCTATTGATCTACATCTTCCCAATCTGGACATGCATAGGAATAAAGATCTGACAGAGATCAGCACGGACTCTATCCCAAAATCAAACAACTATTCATTTCACACAATTGGGAACCTCCTACACACTGAGGGATGAGATATCTATTTTATCTAATAGGAAAACTGCTGCATATCACATCACTCTTACCAGATAAGTATGGGCATCTCTCTTCTCCTTGAAGATGGCGATGGCCTCACTGGAATGGACAAGCGAGATAAAGATCTGACAGATCCCGGGCCATGGAAGGAGAAAGGTGGCGGTGTAGCTGCCGTTTCTGTGGTCGGTGATGGAGCCGCTTACTCCAGCCTTCAGATACGGAGAGTGCAGCTTGGCCTGGAAATAATCCCCCCCGTAGGTTTTGGGGCGACTTTGGTGGTCCCGAGCCCTGATAAAAACCTTTATAAGGTCTCCCACGTGGTATTCGGTACGTGGATCCATTAATGAACACTCTGTGGTCTTGGGGCTGGTAGATGACATGAAACTGGCAGATTTTGGAGGTTCCGGCCATTCAAGGAGTTTCTGGATCTCTTCTGGCTTCTGGGATGGAGGACTTTCAGAAGAAGGGGCACTTTTGTAGTGAAGTGAATGGCATTCATTCAATTGCTTTGATGTAAATAACTGATATATCACCTGGGGGGAAAAAAAACAGTAATAGTAACTCATGTCCAAAAATCAAACTTAAAATCGCCAGATTATTCACTAGGGTACCTAGTGGCAGATGCCTGGTGAGGAAAGGCCCAGCCAAAGTGGGGAATCTACTGCCTGTGCAGATGTCTCCCGACGTCCTAGGGCTCATTAGAAACTTGAGCCATCTTCACCTTCGTAACATCTCCAAAATACACCCCTTCCTCACCAATGAAACCGCAAAACTACTCATCCACTCACTTGTTATCTCTCGTCCCGACTATTGCAACTCCTTCCTCATTGGCCTACCACTACACAGGCTCCTCCCCCTTCAGTCTATCATGAATAATGCTGCCAGACTTATCCACCTAACCAACCGCTCAGTGTCTGCAACCCCTCTCTGCCGATCCCTGCACTGGCTTCAATCCCCCGCCCCCTCTGTCTGTTCCACTCGTCCAAAGGATAAAATTCAAAATATTAACAACCACTTACAAAGCCGTCCACAACTCCGCCCCCGGCTGTATCCCAAACCTTGTCTCAAAGTGTCACCCTAACCGTCCCCTACGCTCCTCCCAAGACCTCCTTTCTTTCTAGCTCCCTTGTCAACTCCTCCCATGCTCGCCTCCAGCACTTCTCTAGAGTCTCTCCCATCCTCCGGAACTCTTTACCCCAACCGGTCTGTCTATCTCCCACTCTGACGGCCTTTAGGCGTTCCCTTAAGACTCATCTCTTCAGGGAAGCCGATCCCACCTCAACATAGCCACTGAACCATCACGTTCTCAAACAATTCATCCCCACACAGCTCCCTCCTCATGTATCACTTCCCCCTCCCTTTTAGAGGGTAAGCCCTCAGGGGCAGGGCCCTCCTTACCATCTTGTCTTGATTTGTATGGTCTTCCTTATATTGTAAAGCGCTGTGCAAACTGTTGGCGCAATATAAATCCTAATAATATTAATGAGCAGCCATGTAGCTTCCAGTCAGCCCCAGGAGGTTATCTTACAGGCAGGGGAGTTTCAGTGAGTGAAAGAACCCTGGCTGGCATATGCACTTCAGGTTTACTCTAAGAGTGGATTGATCTCCACCCTGCACTGTCAACATGGTTCCCATGCTGGCATCAATAAGAAGAGCTTGAGGTGGCATCCGTTCTACTGCTTATTGTTGAGGTAAATAACCACTGGCCACCAATATAATGGGGCCCCACCCCCACAGATCATCAATGTAAGAATGCCCTTCCACAACTGACTATTTTCTCACTGACCACTTATGGCCATCAATATATGGGTATCCTTCCTCCAATGACTACCAATCTGTGGGGACCATTCCCCTACTAACCACCACCGTAACTGGGGGCTTTCCCCCACTGACTACTGACCACCACTACACAGACCATCACTGAATGAAGGTATTTTCCCACCATCAATGTTAGCAATCACTCCTAAATATGATTTTAATTTTGGTAACTTATAATCTCTCAAAAACTAAAGGGGTCTATGCACAAAGGTGCCGAGGGCAGCCGTGTGAATAACCGACCCGAAGTGAAGTCAGCCGAACGCTGTTCGGCTAATCACTTCTGGCTTGTATGGCTGATTTCAGTCGTACATCGGCTTGCTTCGGGTCGGCTGAACATGCTCAGCATGTTCGGCCGACCCGAAGTGCAGAAGGAGTTCGACTCAGCCGATCCAACATCTGGATCGGCTGAGCCGAACCTCCGGCAGGCTACTCGCTGCTGATCGGCCTATTCTCATAGGGGCCGAACAGCAGTGAGTGAATAGCCGAATGGTGCCGAGCGGCTATTTTGTGCCGAGCGGCTACCTCTGTGGTACCGAGCAGAATAGCAAAACTATAAAAAAAAAAGTAGAGAAAAAAAATTGAAACCGATTGGGCGGAGCTAGCAGTGACAGCTAGCTCCGCCCAACAGTTTTCTATTGGCAGTGATATCAAAGCAAGCCCCGCTAAGCTCTTATCGTAACGACAGATCAGTGTTACTAGGTAACCAGGGGACGCTGTTCTGTTTAGCCAGCTTTGGCTTGCAGCCTGCAGGTTTGCCATTCTCCATCAGGGGGTGTTTGGCGTTTAGGGGGGCGCATTGAGGAACCTGGCCTTGGGGGAGCAGAGAGAGTAAATCCAGCCCTGGCTTTGACTCTGATAGTTCAAGCACTTGGGGGGCCCAGACAGGAGAAAGAGGTCCCCGTTAAACCAACTCAGCTCCCACCATGCCAACTCTCTGCAGCTCCTTCCCATGGCGGTGGGGGGTTAGGGGGCCCTTCATGGTTTCTTGCACCAGGGCCCTGAAGTTTCTAGTTACGCCTCTGGGTTTGGATATTGGGGGGGAAAAAAAGCAGAGGCCTCAATCTACATGTGGTGATACAAATAATCATGTTAACCCAAAGCGCATTTAACCGTGCCAAGAAGTGTTTCTCATTGGTCAGCGAGGTCACGTGACTGCGCTGACCAATGAGTGCTCGCGGTTTGTGAGAAAAATAGATGGCAGTATGGGGTACACCCGTAAGGGAGGAGGGGAAAGATTATTCCCAAAAAGGTAAGTATAGTGGGGGGAGGGCGCTAATGCACATGAGTGCGTCCTTCCTGTTGCACGCAGAGACCGGCACAGCCCTGGACAGCCCCGCACCCACCAGTACAACCCTGGTGAGACATGGCACAGCACTGGGGAAACCTGAACGCACTCCTGGACAGACACAGCACAATGCCCTGGTGACACCGACATGCAGAGAATATTACATATACCAATATTAGTTAAACATAGTGTAATCAGGGGTTTGGACACCCACATGCAGCCATGGTGAGACCCGCAATAAAATCTGTCCTAAAATAATTAATCTGCATTGTTTTAGAATGTCACGTCACTTAAAAAAAAAGTATTGCTAACTGGTATCGGCGAGTAATTGAGGAACAGTACTCGTACTTGGTGTTAAAAAAAAAATAATGGTATTGATGCATCCTTAATATCCTAATCAAGAAACAGTGGAAAGATGGTATTCTACCGTGAATCTTTTTGCAGCGGCACAAACCCCCTCACTGTAACTATACGACTAGGGATCGGGTGGGTTGTTTTTGCCCTCCTGCCCTTAATTTGGATGATGAAAATCATCTGCAGAGCCATGGTTGTGACCTATATGCTGTAGATTGTAACATACAGGATTACAACTTCCTAGACACAACTAATAATAACAACGTATATTTTATAGAAAATCATTTAGGATCCTGCCGATTGGCTGCAGAGATCACTTTTTGGCGGAAACCTTTGCCCGGGTCACTTGACAAAAGTAGATTGAGTAGTTGATCATTTTATGTATCTAACAACAAAATTAGTGGGTCGCCCCCACCTTGGCTCCTTGATATCAAACTCTCCCCCTAATATTATATATACAGACAAAGGTGGTGAACGAAAGGGTTTGTGAAGAGATGTACAGTACATCGACCCATGCGTAAAAATATCTCAAATTTATTGTACATAGAAATCATTTTAGTTGATAAAAATCATAAATAACATTATTACATACATTAGTGGATATAATATCCCAATTTTAACCAACATGATTCATCCTTCCTTTATAGGCAGCCCAGAACACATAAATTAATTTAATAAAATACAATTCTGATACATATCAGCCATGATTGATTCCAATTGATGCATTCATTGTGTAGTCTCCAAGGTATGTATATCACCTTTTCCATCGCCAAGTGCTCACCGTAGCTCACGTGCTTGGACTAATGGAATGGAATAATGTTATTTATGATTTTTATCAACTAAAATTATTTCTATGTACAATAAATTTGAGATATTTTTACGCATGGGTCGATGTACATCTCTCCACAAACCCTTTCGTTCACCCCCTTTGCCCATTTTATGTATCTATCTGCCAGCAGTGAGTAGTAAGAAGTACGACTGAGTCAATGATACCTGCTCACATCTATAGAGAGACATAAACGTACTTACCATGATTATCATGAAAGTGGCGAGGATCCGCATGGACAGGACACGAGACTTACATATGAGGGGTACCATGGCTTTCCTTGGAGGGTCTCAGTGGTGTGGGCAAAGTTTCATCGGGAGTGTCTGAAATAGCTGCTGTCTGGAAGGTTGTGGAGTGGTTCAATGGTTTCTTTTGTTGTTCCCTCCTCCGGTGAGACCTGATATCTTTATTGATTAACAATGTGGATCCAGGAGGAACGTCTGCAGCCAATGGCAGCACCTTTGATTGCATGTGAATGGCCGTGAATGGCTGTGGGCGCGCCTTTCATTGTTGATGGCAGCCCGATGCGCCTTGCTTCACCATGTGCTCCAAGGGATAAACATGAAGGTTCACTGAACTTTGACTTGTTTGTCATATTGGTGTGCTGGTGACATCTCTTCACAACAATCTTAGCCTAACGCGGCGCCATCCGCGGTCATTGCGAGCACCTATTTACTTCATGGGAAGTCCGGTAAGGTGTGCTACAGGTGTTCGGACATTTGCAGCTAACATACTGACAGCCCCACTCCAGCAAAAAAAACAAAACTGGAACGCATCAAGAACGCAGCAAAAACACGGCAAAAACACATAGCACCGCGTCTGCAGATCCGCACCTGATCCGGACCTGAAACTCATGTGAACAGGCCCTAAGTGTGCAAAATCGTACCAAGAAAAAACAAAGTACCATGGTTGGGAATGTATCAAAACTGGAGCAGAGAGAATCTGGAGCAGTTGCCCATAGCAACCAATCAGCTTCTCTCTTTCATTTTTCAAAGTTACCTGAGCAAACTGAAGAGAGATGCTGATTGGTTGCCATGGTTAACTGCTCCAAATTCTGTCTGCTCCAGTATTGATAAATTTCACCCCTATGTGTTTTGTGGCACCGTAGCCACGGCCTTCGGCCGCAATGCAATTGCCCATGCGGGATCGCAAGGCACATTGTGCCTGCAGTGCAGTCCGGTGCGATCAAAATAGTGCTTGCAGCATTTTGATCGCACTGCACTGCAGGCACAATGTGCCTTGTGATCCCGTGCGGCCCGATCGCATTGCAGCCGGAGGGCGTGTCTACGGCGCCATTCACTTCAATAACCCGTCACGCCCCCTCCTGACCCACAAAAAAAGTGAGCCGGCCTGCAATGCGATGCAGTGCGTTCTGGCCAGAATCGGGCCGGAACGCACTGCATCTAGTGGGAACGAGGCCTCGTCCAGAAAGAGCCGCACTCAATATTTCCTCCAAAACTAATCCAAATTTATTTAAATCCACAGAACAGCATACACCTCACAAGGGGTCCCAGAACGAAAGGAGCTCTCTCCTAATGCGTTGTCACCCACAGGGCTTAATCATTAGACATGTGCAAAACCCCCCCAAAAATTGTTTTCAGACTAAACAAATGAAAACGAAAAACGGTTTTCATTCGTTTCGTCATAAGGAAACAAACGTTTATGTTGATTCGGAAGCAACGAGCCTCCGGATCTGAAACCGCACACTGAAACCGCAGAACGAGCGGCGGGCATATAGGCCGACGGCGCGCTTTCGCGCCACCATTTTGGAGTAGATCTTGGTATACACCAAGATGGCGGCGCCCTCATGTTCGGGCGCCCCCATCTTGGTGTATACCTAAATCTACTCCAAAATGGTGGCGCGCATGCGCAGAATGCGCCTACGACCTCTGCTCATTCAGCATGTGATGTCACACACTCCGCCTCCAAGATGGCGCTAGGCATGCGCCGAACACAATGGCGCCCAATTTTGCCGCCGGCGTGTTCTCAAAACAAATGAATGTGTGCCCGAATATCGTTTTAGTATATCCGGGCATATATTACATTCGTTATTTCGGATTCGGACGAACCGTCGAATCAACTGATTTTCGTTGACTTGCAGGTTCGTGCGAATCCGAATGCACATGTCTATTAATCATCGGGATGAGACAAGAAATAGGAACTAGACATGCGCACCAGCAAAAAATTGTTTCGTTTTGATTCGGATTTTGCGTTATTCAGTTTTTCGGGATTCGGGTCCGAAAGTCAATTCGTTTCTGAATTTGGATTTGGACGAAATTCCTTAGCGGCAGTCTGTACGAAATTTCGTTACGTTCGTTCGTTGCCGCAAAGGGACATTTAAGAGGGGGGGGGGGAACGTTTCTTTTCCCCCCTCAAATGTCACTTTGCTGCAATGAAATTTGGTCCATCAAACGAAATTTCGCACAGACTACCGCTAACGGATTTTGGAATCGGAAATTCGGATTCGTTTGCATTCGTTACATCTGTAATTCGGACACATACCAATCGGAACGAAACGAATCGCACATGTCTAATAGGAACCAGCCCCCCTTCCCTACCTAATTACAACCAAGTGTGGCTGTAACATCATCACAATGAATGAAAACAAGAGACACAAGAACTCCCATTGTTAAAGTCAAAACCCAAATACAAAGAAATAAGCCATGAAAAGAAGAAAAAAAAACCATACAAACAGAAATACAAAAGAATGTAAATGTATACACGTGTGTATGCGTACACATACACTGGCAGAGCGCCATCCCATGCAGAGATATCTTCCCGATATCTTCAACTTAATATACACTGAGTGGCCAGATTATTATGACCACATCATCAGTACTTGGTTGGGCCGCCTCGTGACTCCACGAGATGATGAAAGGTGATGCGAGGAATCTGACACGGCACTGTTACCCTTCTGTTGTCTTGTACCAGTCTTGCCCCTCCCCCGTTCTGCCCTAACATTGACTAGTTGCTGACGGCCACAATTCCCACATTCACACCCAGATTTTCGGCTGACAGTCCGGTCTTTAAACACTTTAACAATGAGCCCCTCTTGAACATTTAACGAATTCTGCTGTTTTGCTGATACTCGCTCCATGGCACCGAGCGCCAACAATCAACAATTCAAAGGCTGTTACATCGCGTTGTTTCCCCGTATCTTCAGAAACAAATCACTTCTACTGTCGTGGTAACCAACCCGCTTCCCTATTTATAATGGTCTGGCCCTCTAGCAACTTCAGCGCCAAATTATAGCTCATTTGCCTACAAACGTCAGGTGGTCATAATAATCCGGCCACTCGGTGTATACACGTGTGTGTGCGTACACATACACTGGCAGAGTGGCCACCGCCATCCCATGCAGAGATATCTTCCTGATTCACTTTACAGCTTAATATAACTTCCATCCTACGGAGTCTCCAAGTTATTTATTAACCAGCATGTCGGAAATAAATATAATATAGCTAAGCAAATAAAAAGGCTCAAATATATTTCAGTTATAGAATAACCGTTAGACAAAAACCAAGTCCCTTTTGCTCAAGGTGCCCATACACCAGCGGATTTATCGTACGATAGTTGTGGGTGATCCCGCGATCGTACGATAATCGGCAGCGCAGCGTGCGACCGCATCTCCTGTAAGCACTGTAAAGCACGACTTTCGTGCCATTTTCGGCGGGTTGGTAGCGTGCTCGGAAGACGAATGCCGCACGGGCCCGGTGTGCGCAAAGCGCACGCTGCCCCGCTCAGCACTGCAATCATCGCCAAGCCCTCCCCTCAGCGGGGGAGGGCCTGCGATGATCGCAAGTACGATCTGCCTGTCCAAGATGGGCAGGTCGTACGAAATTTTAATCACCTTACAACCATCGCACAACGGAAGTCGTGCGATGGTTGTAAAGTGTAAAGTTCCGACGCGCTGAAATACGCCCGGGTGGGAGCCACGCCCATAGGAAATAATGGGATTTAATTTGCTGGCCGTTTTACAGCGCTTCGATCAGCGCTGTAAAACGCCCAGGTGTGAACCCGGCCTTAGGGCATTTAAAGCTTTCACGGGCCAGAGACCTAGAAGTTCAAAATTCCCTCCACAGGATCCTCAATCCGTCTCTCACAGGGTCGGGTTGTTATTAGTGATGGGCTCGGGGCGTGTTCGCAAGCTCCTCGTGCCGAGCCCGCCAGGAAGCTGAAAGTGCCGCAGCGCTCATCACAGGTACTGAGACATTATCCCGGTCCGCAGCTGCAGAGATCGGTAAATGTCTCCGAGCCTGTGATTGGCGCTGTCAGCTTCCTGGCTTAGAACAATATATAACAAATTTTTTTAGCAACATACTCAGTGACCCCAGCACATCCCAGGTGACACCAAACAATCTCCGGTGATCCTGCATATCCCCGGTGACCTCAAACAATCTATGGTGACCCCGCACATCCCCGGTGACCCTGCACATCCCCTCTGACATCAAACAATCTCTGGTGACCCCACACATCCCCGGTGACCCTGCAGTTCCCCGGTGACATCAAACAATCTCTGGTGACCCCACACATCCCCGGTGACATCAAACAATCTCCGGTGACCCCGCAGTTCTCTGGTGACACCGCACATCCCCAGTGACACCGCACATTCCCAGTGACACCAAACAATCTCTGGTGACTGCGCACATCCCCAGTAACCCCAAACAATGTTCAGTGACCCCCGCACATCCCTGGTGACCCCACACATCCCCGGTGACATCAAATAAGCTCCGGTGACCCCGCACTTCTCCGGTTATTCCAAACAATTAACGTTGACCCCGCACATCTGCAGTGACACCAAACAATCTCCGGTGACACCGCACATCCCCGGTGACAACGCACTTCTCCAACGACACCAAGCAATCTCTGCTGACCCCGCACATCCCTGGTGACCCCGCACATCTCCTGTGAAAACGCACATCTCCGGCGACCTCGCACATCCCTGATGACACCAGACAATTTCTGGTGATCCCGCACATCCCCGGTGACACCAAACAATTTCTGGTGACCTCACACATTCCCGGTGACCCTTCAAATCCTCGGTGACACCGCACTTCTCTGGTGACACCAATCTCCGGTGACCCAGCACATCCTCGGTGACAGCGCACATCTCCGCTGACACCAAATAAGCTCCGGTGACCCCGTAAATCTCCGGTGCCCCCGCACATCCCCAGTGACCTCGCACAGTGGGGGGAGCTAGCCAAACTGGAGCAGGTAAAATGTGGAGCAGATTTGCACGGCAACCAATCAGCTTCTCTGACTTCAAATCTTA